CCACGAGGACTACGGGCGCCCCGGCGAAGCCTTCGGCCTCCGGGCCGCCCGCTCGGTGGACGGGCTGCAGCCGCCCGACGAGCACCCCCGGGGCACCCCCGCCTTCGCCCCGCGGCCCCCTTCGCCCTCGTTCTCCCGTTACGGGCCGCAGCCCAGCGAGCACCCGCTGCCCGAGCCCCCCCCGCGCCCGCCCTCGCTGGCCCCCCCCGGGCCCCTGCTGCTCTGCGGGCCGCTGGACCGCGGCGGGGGCCCCGAGGATGTTTACCGGGGGGTGATGCCCACCCTCCTCATCCCCGCCCGCTACATGCGCCTGGCCCCCGGCGAGCCCGAGGGTCCCCCCGAAGCCGATGGGGGCCCCGGTTCGACGGCGGCCACGGCCGCGCCCCCGGCACCTCCCTCCTCCGGGCAGCCCTTCGAGGAAGGGGAAAACTGGGGCGGGGCTCGTGCCCCCCAACCGGTGAGCGGCTCGGTGGCCATCCCGGTGCTGCTGGACGGGTCGGCGGTGGCCCAGCTCAACGGGGAGCTGCAGGCGCTGGCCGGGCAGCAGCTCCTGGAACTGGGGGGGCCGCCACCCCCGAGAGCCTGGTTCGTGTCCCTGGACGGGCGCTCCTCCCAGGTTCGACACTCCTACATCGACCTGCAGGGCAGCGAGAGGGGCCCCGGCCCCGCGCCCCCTCCCCGCCTCCCACGGGCCGCCGGAGGCGGGGAGGAGGACGGGGGGCCCCGGCCCCCGCTGCCCGCAGCCTCCCCCGAGGACAGCTCGCTCGCCCCCTTGCTGGAAGCGGGCAGCGGGGGGCGGCGAGGGGGGGGCAGCGGGCGCAGCAGCGCCAGCGAAGCCCCCCGAGACTCCCTGACCAGCCCCGAGGAGGAGGCGCTGGCCGAGGCGGGCGACGGGGGCGACGAGGGGGGCGACCGCAAGAGCCCCTGGCAGAAGCGGGAGGAGCGGCCTCTGATGGTCTTCAATGTCAAGTGAGTGTGGGAAGGCCGGGCCCCTGGTCCGGGGTGGGGGGCAAGTCCCAGGGGGTGCTGAGATGGGACACCGCTGCTGTCACCCGTCTCAGCCCACCACTGTCCTGCCCGGCCACCGTCTCCTCCCGCCACCGTCCTCTGTCATCGCTGTCCCATCGCTGTGCTGTCCCACTGCCATCTCATCCCAGCACCATCCCATCTATCATCCTGCCCCATCAGTCCCATCCCACCACAGTCCCACACAGCCATCATCTCCTCCCACTGCTGTCATCCTCATCCCACCCTCCCACTGCCGTGTCCTGTCACTGTTCCATCCTATCCTGCCATGCCATCCCACCACCTTCCCCACCATTCTGCCTTGTCACTGTCCTCTCCCACCACTGTCCCAGCCCACCACCATCCTCTCCTGCCACCGTCGTGTCCCACCACTGTCCCACTACTCTCCCACCCCACCACAATCCCATCCCACCACCATGGTCCCTTTCGGCCAGGGGAGGGACCAGAGCGACCATACCCAGGCACCCTGTGCCACCAGGCTCTGCCACACGGGATCCTGGTGCCCCTGTTCCCTCCATGTCCCACCCAACACCACCCTCCACCTCCCTGTCTTTTGGGGGTGGGAACTGCATGCTCCATGTTCCCCCAATCCTGAGCCATGTCCCCACTTGTGTCCCTGCAGGACAGGGGGGGCTGGCACTGCCCCCCGAGCCAGTGGTGCCTCCAAGCTGCCATAGGAGCCGGGGGGCCCCTGTCCCCCCACCCTCATCCCCCTTTGGATTTTAACTCGTGTTTCTAAACGTTTTCTACGTGGTGAGGATGAAGAGGGGTCATTGGGGCCAGGCTGGCAGAGGGGGGGCCATGGGGACCCCCGGGTGCCAGGCTGGGCAGGGAGCTGCTGCCTGCACCTGCCTGCACGTCCTGCCTGCTCCTTAGAGGCATTAATATATTAAACACACAAAATCCCCCCTGCCTCCGCCTCCTGCCTCAGTTTCCCCCTCGCCAGGAGCCATGGGTGGCGTTTCTTCTAGAAACCATTTATTGGGGTGGTGGCACTCGTGGGGGGTGATGGTGGTGGTGTCCCCAGTGCCATCAGAGCAGGTCCCAGCGCTGGGGGCTGCACCCCCAGCCCCCCCTGGTGCAGCGGGACCCCGCAGGGCAGCAGTGGCGGCCGTCGGAGCAGCAGGAGCCCTGCAGGGAGAGACAGAGTGAGGGGGGGTAATGCCACCCCCCCCC